GGTCAGGGAAAAAATCAAAATTTTGTCTGGAAATCAGGGAAAAGCAAAATTATTTTTTTGTGTCAATCCTGTAAAATTTCATTTTTTCTTTTCTGTTAAGAAATTTAATAAAATTAAACAAGTCACAAATTAAAAATTTTTGTTAATTTTATTAGAACCTTTTTTTATTTTATTTGTATTTATTTTTTTTATTTTTTTAAAATATTTGTTTTAGAAATCAATATAAAACATTTTGTAACGCGCTTTTTATTCTTATGTGTTTTAAAAACCAATATTTTTAGATTTAAATCGTCAAAGTTTATATTTAATTTTCAACATCTTGTTGACTTTGTAAATTTAAACGAATTTTCAATTTTTTTTTTATTAAAATAAAAATGTTAAATTGGATGCAGTAAAGCAGGCACCAATTGCTTTAAAAAATAACAGAATAAGTAAAATTTCTTCTCATTCACTGTTTAAAGTTTGCAATGTGATTCATAGTCAAAAACAAGTTTTGTAAATTGATAAAAGCAAAATTTGTTCCTTTACTTTACTATTTCAAAAAAAAAAACGATTGTGATGCAAACAATTAAAAAATAATAATAATTAGCAAACAAATTTGTTTGCTAATCACAGTAAGTGAGTAAACATTGTATTAGCTTCTAAGCGCAAATTACTTTCTTTAAGAGGTGTTAACTTAAGCTAACACATCTGAGTTTGTAATTATTACTCCATACTCTCCTTCTTATTTAAACAAAGACAACTTTTCCTCCGCCTGCTTCGAAACTGACCATGTATTATTTATTCAGTTCGCCGACCTTAACCACTCTGTTAATTACTCATTGTTCTTTCATTCTTATTAACCCCATTTAATATATTTTTTTTTTATTTTTGCGTTTTAATTTTCTAGTTCTAGATGAACAATAATTATAACTTAATTTTATTTTATTTTTAAAAAAATATTTTTATGACTTCTTTTTATTTATTAGACATTACGTTTAATTGAAGCACGAGAAAGCATTTTAAGACATCTTAAAGAATCCAGTTATAAAACACTTTCGTACACTCTGCAATTACGACAAATGAAGACTCTCGTAATCTCTTTCTTCTAGTTGTACTTTTAGCGCGCGTCAAACGATTTAATTTCACTAATTAAATTGTTAAAAGAAAAAATTCAATCCTCTATTGCACACAGACAAATATATTCCTCATATTTACTCGCTTTTATGCTTCATGCCTGTAATTTTTATTTTGAGCAATTAATAATTCTACTGATGTAACTGTCATTTTATTGCAATAGAAATAATTCAAAAAAAACTATATCGCAACAATTAATGCACAACAATTATCTAATTTTTAAATTTATGCCAAACTTTTCAGTTAAATAAAAAATTATAAAAATACTTTATTTTAAAAATCAAAAATACTAAAAAATTTGTAAAATATTTTAATGTTATATGCAAAAGAGAAAGAAATTTTAAACAAGCAAAGGTTTTAGAGAAAAGTCAACCAATTTTAGAATTATAAAAGTTAATTGTAATTATCATGTCCCACGTTTGGAAAACAATCGCGTGAGAAAAAGTTGAATGAAACTCACAAATACTAAGTCATTTGCAATAAAAAAAAAATATCAACAAAATATTCAATCAGTTATTGTTGTTGCACTCTTGAATTTCAATTAACTGCTATTACATATCGAGTCCTGGGTAATAATTAATTGAGACAGTAATTATTATTTAATTGATTAATCATGTAGGATTTAAAGCTACTAATTCTTGCATAAGCAGAAATGATCATTCAATTAGAAGAAATTTCTATTTCTCAATCTTTTCTATCGTTTTTAATTTTATTATCTATTTTTGCTTCTAATTTGCAAAAATTATTGTAATATAAAAAATTTACAAACTTTCCTTTTTAGAGCAATTTTAAATTGATAATTGATTGAAAAAATATTTTCGAATTCTTTTTGTCTAAAAAACACAATTTTATTTACAAAATTAAAAGTTTATTTTTGGAGAAGAAGAACAAAAATTTTATAAAATTATTATTTCTTATCACAATTTGTTAACAAAATTCTGTTTCTTTTTTGAAAAAAAATAATAATTTGCATCATTTTAACACCAAAATTTCCAAAAATTTATTTATAAAACATTTTTTTAAAAGAATTTTAAATATCTTTAGGAAAAAAATCTCTACAATTTCTATTTGTTAATTACGATTTTTAACTCGATTATTTTAAAATTTTTTTCAAATTTTGAATAATTTTTATTTTTTATTATTATTTTTTAACGAAATCTCAAGTATTTTTTTAAAAAGAATTTTCGTAAATTTGATTTTTTAATCATACCTATTGATCGTCATTACAAAAGTTGAATATTCTTAGAAAATTTTTTTTTTGAAAATTACCTTTATTAGAAGAAAGAAAATTAGAAAATCACCTTCATTAGAAAAAAGTTTTTTAGAAATTCACCTTTATTAGAAAAAAAATTTTTAGAAAATAAAAAATTAGAAAATATTGTTAAAAAATACTAGTTATTTATTTTTCCACAGGAATTAAAATTTTAAAGATTTTAATTTTCTCAAATTTAAATTAATTTCAAAAACTACAACTGTAAATATCTCAAAATTCAATTACTTTCTACAATTTTTAACTAACTGAAAGTTAATTAATTTTTTAAATTACAATATATTTAAATATTATTGATTTTCTACTTCCATTGCATACGAGCGAGAAATCTTTCTTTAAAAATTGGAAAAAAACGAGAATTTTTTATTTACAATTTCGAATCTTCTGAAATTCAATTATTACCAAAATCAACAACTGTACTTTTTTTGAAAATTAAATAATTTTCTATAATTTTTAACTAAACTTCCCTAAATAAATTATTTTTAATGCTTTTTGGAAGTATTTTGAGATTTCAAAATTACTCAAATAAATTAAAATACAAAAATTCAAATTTTAATAATAATTTTGTGATATTCTTCAGTTTTTCTCGTTTTAAAAAAAGTTATTAAGGTGAATTAGCGGAAAATATTTGATTCATATTCAAATTTTCATTTGACGATTTTTCATCAAAAATGTTTGAGTATTCAATTATTTTCAAAAAGTTTGTAATTAAAATTCTTCAAAATTTGATTTTCGAAAATTCTAATATGATGCTTTGAAAAATCAATTATTTCCAATGAAATTTTGCAAAATTACAAATAACTAAAAAAATTTAATTGTGTATTTCGAAAATTTAGTTATATCTTTAAAAATAATATTAAGAAGAGTCGAATATTTGACACTATAAAAATTCTAATTTCTTTCTATTCTATACCAAAAAGTAGTATTTTATTGCAATATTTGAAAAAAAGTCGAAAAAGACGAATTATTTTCGTTTTTTGAAACTTAAAAATCTTTCTAATATTATTTCTCAGAATTTTTAAGCTTGGAAATTTTTTTTATAAAAGGTAAAAAATATTAAATAACTTTCACTTGTAAGAAAAATTCATATAGTTTGGAATTTTTGACAAATTATTTCCAAAATAAATTTTACTTAATTCAAAGTATATTTTACTAATTTTCATTTTTAAATAAAATTTATGACGCATATTTTGTAAAATTTACTCTGAAAATAACGATTTTTAATAGCAAAATTTACTATTTTTAATGTTAATTTTTTATATATAAAAATTATTCAAATTTTCCTTGAACACTACAATTAGCTATTAAAAATTATTTTTGAGTAAATTTTAGCTACTATTTTTAAAGTAATGTTTTTATAATTTTTATAAAGAAAATGGTCTTTGAAAATAGTAAAAGTATTTCTGGAAATAACCATTTTTAATATTAAATTTTACTATTTTTGAACAAAATTTCCCCAAGGCCCGAATTAATTAAAAAAAATTTTTTTTTTTACCAATTTTACTAATTTATGTAATTTTAAAACAAAAGTAGTGTTGTAATACAAAATTTGATTAAAAATTCAAAGAAAGTTACGAACTACGGAAAAAGATGAAGAAATATCAGTAATTAATAGAAAAAGTTTTAAAAAAAAATAATTTGATCTTAAAAAGTTGTAGTTAAGAAAAAAACTAAAAAAAATTTTCAATAAATTTTATGCCTTATCCTAATACTTTTTACTTATTTCGTAAATTTCACTTTTTTAAAACTGTGAATTATAATAACATCAATAGAAAAACATTTTTCACTAGTTTCACAAATATAATTAAAATTAAATCATTAATATTTGAATTTTTCACGAATTTTTCAAGAATTTTTCATATTTTTAAATTTATTTCTTAAATCATTAATTTATGATAATTATCATTCAATTTTGATTTTAATTAAAATAAAAGTTACCAATTTAAAAGTAAATAATAAGTATCAACACAATATTATAAAACATTAACTTTTAACTTTGAATCCGAAAATAATTTTTCTTTCGTTGGCGCAAAATTTTTGTTGGTCCAAAACACAAAATAATAAAAAAAAAAAAACAAATTGAATAATTTTAAAAATATGCAAATTTTATAATTTCTAAATATAGATAACATAACAGAAAAACTATGTTCAATTTCTTAAATATTTAAATAATTAATACGATTTTTATATGTAATAAGTAGAACATTAATTTATAAACTGAACTGATTTAGTCAAGAATATTTTTGTTAAATTATTTTTTTATTTTCCGATTGAAGTTAAATTTGTTTTAACTAAAAAATAGATTTCTTGACATTAAAAAATTATTTAAATTTTATTTGTTATTATAGCATTTAGATTTGATATTAAATTCTAAACTTAAAAAAAATATTAAAATTTTATTAGTTATTGTAGCATTTAGATTTGATATTAAATTAAATATTAAATAACATTTAACTTTAAGAATTCACTTTTAGCAAAATTTCGCAACGAATTTTTAAAATATTGACATAGACCAAAAAAAGTACTTTAGTGTAATTTGAAATAAATTTTTTTTTTAATTTCTACGATAATATTAAATAATTTTCAGGTGCAAGTAAAAGGAAATGTAACTCACTTGTGACTTGAAGGCGATTATTGTGATGGAAGTGTAGCTTCTTTGGACTACATGCACCTCCTCTTCTCGCGAGAATCCGAACAACTTATGTGCACGCGCTAGTGAGAAAGGTGAGAGTGAATTGCTGGGAGCATCTTCACCATTCAAGCTTTATATAGGAATTGTATCCCCTACAATCTTAGACATACTCCATAGAAATTGTACATCCACCACCATTTCTCTCTACAATTTTGCTAACACTAAACAAACTCATTATCATTTCAGTTCGCAATATTACAACAATTATTTTATTATTTATTAAAATAACATTATTATAACAATCGAAAAATATATTCTAAGTAATAAGTGTTGTATTTTTCATTTTTAAAAGACTTAATATTATCTACATCATTTCAGAGGATCAATTACACAACATTGATTAATTTTATTTTAGCTTCGAAATAAAGAAATTGACATTGATTCAGTGAATAATTTTTTTTGTTTTAAGGAAATTATTCTTTAATTTCAATAAACTTTCACCACCTTACCTAATAAAATAATTATGTTGAAATCAATTTAAAGAATTTTTTATTATATGAGTATACTGTACCGGAATGATGTGTAGCACATTTTTACCCCTTGACAGTCGATGATTTGGATATGCACGTTTAGAAAAAGTCTGCAGTGACGAAATCGTTTATTGAAAAAAATCACAATGAATGAAGATGGCATTTAAAAATTTTTAAATTGGACTTTACTTTCTTAATTATCGACCTTTAAATCCCTAAAAAAGTAGCAACTTTCATAAATGATATTATCAAACTTACTATACTAACTCATTGATCAGCCTTATTTAGAGACAAGATTTAATGACAATGAAAATTTTTAAATTATTCTATATTAATTTTAAAAAAATCATTCAAACTATTTGAAAACAAAATTAATCAAAAATACAATTAGAACAGAAAAGATAAAAGAGAACATTTTGAGAAATATATAATGATAAATAAATAAAAATATCGCCGGTCAGTTAGGACCGCTTGGTCAGAAGAACAGAGCGTCGGGGTTGAAATAAACTATAGTTAATCAATTTAACAGTTAATAAGGTTTACAATTTATTCTTAAGATTTGAATATAAAAAATTAGAAGCAATTTTACTTAATTTTAATGCTCTTTGGTTTAAGATTTCTCAAATGAAGGTCAGCAAAGTTCACTAAAAGAAAATATCGGTATTTTAGAATAAGGGTCACATTTTAAGGTAACGGGGAATAAAAGGGAATAAATTAAATCGATTACATCTTTGATTTTGAAGGTAACAAAAACAATAAATGTGGGGAAAGAAATATAAAAATACAATAAAATCAAAATTGAAAACCAAAATGAGCACATGGTCGAAGGAAGAATCAACAAGAAATTTTGTTTTATTTTCATTGAAATCTTATAATATAAAAAATAATACCTTATCATGCGATGAGAAATATGTGATGAAATCTCATGTGATGTAAAAAATTCTAGAGAAGAAGAAGAATCAAAGTCACAAAAATCAAACTACAAAATAATTTGATTAATAATTTCTTCCATCGACTATGCGATCAGCTGAACCGCTAAGACGCATTTTACAAAAAAAGAAAAAGGTATAAGATTTAGAAAATTCAAACTTACAGCTTTCAATTATAGAAATTTTAAAGAGTTACTTCTGAGTTCTAAAGAGTTCTTAAAATTGACAGAATCTCTTTATCACCAGAAAGTATAAAAATAAATTATAATGCGCCTTCGGTAGTGTACAAGAATTGGTGACATGGTTTTTCATTAATTAATTGGGGAATAATTTGATTAAATGGCGGATATAAAATCCAATATAGCGGGTATTTTCTTTCAAATTTATGAACTTATGATATCCAATTTTTTAAATTCAAAATTGTGGATCCAAAATGGCGAACATATTTTTTTAATTCATCGGATTTGCTTAAAACTCTTTACTATTGGGTTTTCGATGTCGTTGATACGAATAAGTTAAAATATTAATATTCAAGTTAATGGTGGAATTTAAAAAAAAATTAATGTAGTTCAAAATCTTGTTTTTAATGAGACAGATTAGAAAAGTGAAAAAAATCAACTTCCCCAAAATTGGTGAATTTGAAGAAAATTTGAATAATTTAAAAAGAATATTTCCTTCTTTGGAATATTAAAATTTGGACTTCTGATTTGTAATCAACGATCTCAACAACCCCAAAGTAATAAATTTAAAGCATTCACCATTTTCAATTTCGAAAATTGGATACAATGGTGCTCCATAACTTTTGCCCGTCTTGCAGCGATTAAAGGCTTTAATAAATAGTTTTGTATGTTGTTTATTATATTAAAGTTACAAAGTTCAGAAAGGTCTCATTTCCTGAACTTGACCACGAGACGCATGAATATTTCCCAAATGACAAGTAACCGAACTGTTCCCTACTAAAAATCCCTGTATAAGATCTTGTACAAGAAAATGCACACGCTCAGTAGCTGAACTTGTACAAGAAAATGTACAATTTCTTGTATTAGAACTTGTACAAGAAAATTTATACAGGGATTTTTAGTAGGGTTATTTAACCAAAATGCATGTAACCGACCTGTCATGTAACAGGATTGTCATTTAACAGACCTGTCATGGAACAGAATTGTCATTTGACAGAACCCCCACATAGCACAATATCTTGCTGTAAGTTTGTGGTGTGGATTACACGTATAGTTTGTAAGGATGGGTTTGTATACTTGTGGTAAACTTAAGGTAAACTTTAAATTTCCGCCATTACGGTAAGCTTACAAGTAAAGGTTATTGTAAGCTTAAATGGTAAGGTTGTGGTAAGGTTACTAGAAAGTTGTAAGGTTGAGGTAAGGTTGTAGTAAGTTTACTAAATAAGGTAAATATTTACAAAATAATTTATAATATAATTAAGAAGTAAATAAAAAATTTTAAAAAATATTTCTGGTCCTGCTCCATTTTGGAAATCTAACATGCCGTTGAAAATTTTGAAAACAAATTTAGGAGGACTGGGATTCGAACCCGGGATCGGCGCGCATAAACCTAACATCCTAACTAACTGAGCTAAGTGGGGAACTGACAAAGAAAAAATAAATTTTGCTTTTAAAGAGTTAGTCATCTTCTTGGTTCACCTTAAAAGAAAAATTTATTTTTTCTTTGTCAGTTCCCTACTTAGCTCAGTTAGTTAGGATGTTAGGTTTATGCGCGTCGATCCCGGGTTCGAATCCCAGTCCTCCCAAATTTGTTTTCAAGATTTTCAACGGCTTGTTAGATTTCCAAAATGGAGCAAAACCAAAAATTTTTTAAAAAAATTTTTTTATTTATTTTTTAATTATATTACAAATTATTTTATAAAGATTTACCTTATTTAGTAAACTTACTACAACCTTACCTCAACCTTACAACTTTATAGTAACCTTACCAAAACCTTACCATTTAAGCTTACAAAAACCTTTACTTGTAAGCTTACCGTAATGGCGGAAATTTAAAGTTTACCTTAAGTTTACCACAAGTATACAACCCTATCCTTACAAACTATACGTGTAATCCACACCACAAACTTAGAGCAAGATTATTGTGCTATGTGGGGTCATGTAACAGAATTGCCATTTAGCCGACCTGTCATGTAACAGAATTGCCATTTAACCGACCTGTCATGTAACAGAATTGTCATCTGATCGAACTGTCAAGTAACAGAACTGTTTTGTAACAACCCTTTTCATAGAAATTTGTATGAATTTCTCTGAATTCCTGTAAATTTCCAAGAAAAGGGTTGTTACGAAACAGTTGAAGTCGTAAAAACTGTCACATTTTCATCTTTTAGAAAATATTAAAGAAAACACATAATTTATTATAAAAACGTAAAAAAATTATAAGAATTTATTAAGAATGATTTAGTCTATTATTAGAAATTAATAGAATCAATTAATAATAAGAAATATTAAATGAAAAATGATTTTAAAGTTCACTTGGCAAATAACCTATTTTTGCAAATTTCATTCACTAAATATGAGAAAGAGAAATCATTAAATTGAATAAAACCTTATGAAATATAAAGTACCTGTGATTAACTTTTAGTTTTCCTTATCACTTTCTTCCTTTTTTCTTCATAAATGTTAAAAAATAAGCAATTAAAACTGGCACTTTGCTTATTTTCACGATTTTAAAATGTAAATAACTTCTGCCCAGAAAATTGAAAAATTACGAAAATTGGGCAATAATTAATTGATCACTAGATACACTCACTGGAAAAAGATTTTCTTTGGTCCTGAAGCTATTTTCCGAATTAATTAACTTTAAACTTTTTACTATTTCTATCAGGTTACATGTGATTTTTTTTAAACTGAAGTTGGTTCAAAACGATTAAACAAGAAGAGCTAACTTCGTCCTTTAAAAAACACATGTATTAACCTGATAAAAATAGTAAAAAGTTAAAATTAAAAAGTTTAAAAGTTTTAAAAAAATAAAAAGTTAAAGTTAATTAATTCGGAAAATAGCTTCGGGGCCAAAGAAAATCTTTTTCCAGTGAGTAGTATTGCCCAATTTTCGTAATTTTTCATTTTTCTGGGCAGAAGTTATTTGCATTTTAAAATCGTGAAAATAAGCAAAGTGCCAATTTTAATTGCTTATTTTTTAATATTTGTGAAGAAAACAGGAAGAAAGTGATAAGAAAAATTAAAATATTTAGTGATTGAAATTTGCAAAAATAGGTTATTTGCCAGGTAAACTTTAAAATTATTTTTTATTTAATATTTCTTATTAATAATTGTTTCTATCAATTTATAATAATTAAATAATTCATTCTTAATAAATTCTAATAATTTTTTTACGTTTTTATAGTAAATTATGTGTTTTCTTTACTATTTTCTAATAGATGAAAATGTGACAGTTTTTACGACTTTATTATACTTTAGATGCTTATTTTACAATAAATATAAAAAATATTTAAAAAATTCTTTTTGTTCGGTGATTCTAATGTCTTTAAAATCATTCCTGCAAAATATTACAATTTTTTAAAATTAGTCGGCAACGACTTTAGTCGAAATATAATGGAATGACTCTTTGGGAAAAATAACTTTTTTTTATGTCTTAAAGGGAAAAATGTTAATATAAT